GTCAGGATATATTTTAAAATCAAATATAGACGGAACAAAAAAGATAAGATGAAAAAAGACTGTGACCATGCCTAAAACTTAGAAACACTTTACAAATCTCAACAATATTTTGTCCATGAAGATGAGGCTCCGTTTATTTATTTATTCAATGCAGAAAAATATTAAATACAAAATATTAAATTGTGAGACTACTATTTAGGCAACATTTTCGGAGGGTAAAAACAAACAAAAAGTGGTGACAACTACTCATTGCTTATTGCTTTGTTGACTGAACCATTGGATTAATATTTGAGTACAGTGAAGCCCTCTAGTATGAAGAAATAAATCCCTTGGTAATTGTGATAATAATAATAATAATAATCTGGAAGTGCATGTTTCACTACTTAGGTTAATTGGCAACAGGTTAGAAACAAACCCAGCAAGACATAAACACAAACCAAAAGCGAAAATGCATCAACGCTCATCGCTGCCACAGAATTTCACTCATCAAACTTACCAATTCAGTCAGGCAAGCACATCCTATTGGGTCCTCTCCCTGGATCCTATCAAACACCAGAACTCCAGACTACTTTGCCGCCAAAGCAAACAAAAGGACCACATCGTGCCAAATGCGTTCCACCTCAACTTTACGCACGCGCCTCTCACCTGAACCGCGGATCAGTCCAACAAAATACAAGCAGAGGACAAGCACCTCGGACCACATCATTACGTCCTGATACCACCAGAGCGAAAATTGCCTGTTAAACCTAAGAAGTGAAAATACAAATTTAAATCCAAAAAGGCGCGTGGTTAAACCGCCCTTATAGATTAGATCGCGTAACACAATTACCGAAACAAAACGGTTAACCCCGCAACCTGGCTCATGTGATCTGATAAAAACTGGAATTCCTGTGAAAAGGATATTTAAACTATTTTTTCTAAGAAAAAAAAATGTGTGTCCGATCTGCCTGTTACACTGGAAGTTGTGTCCCCTGTGCTTTGACTTCAGATGCTCTAAATCTGGAAGGGGTGCAATCAGCCAATCACATCAAGTTCCGGATATGTCACAAACACAAGTACCATACAGCACATTATGAGTGACTATAGACACATAGATATATACTTACAACCAACTTGTACCTCAGCACACAAAGTTACACTTTTAGTGCAACAAATTAAGTCTCGGTTGCGTTTCATTTGACCAGCAGATGGCAGCACATCCTCAATTTCACATAGAAACACGGAATCAGTACGAGTTTATTAAGGCAACTTGTCATGTAGTTGGCTGTAGCATTCACTGCTATAAACTGTATGACGTGTAAATATGTTAAATATTAGGAAATCATTTCTCAAACACAAAGAGGGAGTTGTTTTGCCTGTGTAGGGTGTGCACATGGTAACCCTCAGCACCTCATAGAAGGAGGATGAGGCAAAAATTTAATTAAGAGGGTTGAAAAGGAAGCAGACCCACATGGCCTCAGGGACCGGCAGGAGCGGATAGTTCAAATTAGACCAGCATTGACAGTTCGGAGTCACCTCTGACCCAAACCCTTTGACCCATAATTTTAAAAAGACATTTTTTATTCATTATTCTGTGAATCACAGGTAAACTTGCTGCCCGCAAAACTGGTATGAAGCCCACCCTCCTCTATGCAAAGGCAATGTAAGAGGTGTATGCCGCAAACAAGAAGCGCCTGTTGCCATAACCTTCTGCACAATTGAACTTCATCCTGCGGAGAGAGTCTTGGGTTCACATTTCGCCATAGCTTTGTAAACTTAGATCATATGGGGTCACAGAGAGGTTGAGCAAGCAGCAATCGACTCCCCGAAGATCGGTTACAGTGTAATGGCATAAGAATGCTGGTCACTCCTGAGTACTGTAAGGAGATTTGAACCTAATTACAACGAATTTTAGAATGAGATTTTTTTTTAAGTCAGAATCACTGTCAAAGTAATGTGATGTACAAACATATTTTTTATCATAGTAATAATTGTTATTCCATATGAACATGCATATATTCTCATAAAAAATGGTTACTAAAAAGCTTTTAGTTTTTCCCGTTATAAAGAAAAAAGTACAATGTGAAATTAAGTGGCAGGTTAATACACACCTCTCATTTTCTGGACAACACACACACACACACACACACACACACACAGTGTCCGTATTGTCCACACCAGCACTCTGCCGAGGTATCCCTTGCTCCCTGTGGTGTGTGCATGTTGAGGGCCCTGGTGTTATTGATCTTGATTGGGCCTCACAGGAGGGGATTCCGGCCTGCCACTGACCCACACTTCTCCATGTTTCCACCCTTGTCTTAGATCATCAGAGGCAACCGTCTCTTTCGGCCGGCCACGGCGGCCTGCTTGCGTGAGATTTCTGATTGTCAGTTGAAGGCGGGGTGTAGGGGGAGGAGGGGGTAAGTGCAGATTTTGCAAAATCACTAGCAGGTCCTGCCTGAGTAGCATGCACTGACGTTTTTCTGGCTTGGTGACTGTCAAAACATCCCCCATATGCATCCATACCACTCCTCCCCTCTCTGGTTGGAAAGCCCGTGGCTCACAGGCTGCTTTCCTCTTCAAAGTAAAACTTCTCTGCCATGTGGCCTGTGTTGAATGTTTGTGTTGATGGCTGCCCAGCGCTTATGAACTCCTCATAAGGATCCTTTTTCTCTTCATCAGTCCCTGTGAAGCACTTAAACAGTGACATGGCGAGGAAGGAGTAGAAGACCATTACAAATAGAATATAGAAGTAAGCATTGTCATAAGTCTCTCTGGAGGTGGAGGTGATGAACGCCGGATTTGTGTTGAACAGAGGACTTACTGTGGTGTTGGAAACAGTCCTGTTCATCTGCTGCTCGCTGATATCTGTGTCCTCAAGAATCTGTCGACATCTGGTGAAAAGAGAAAGCAAGAGACTCCGGTTCATGCTCCTCATGTCTAAATCAGCAGCCATCTTGACAAAAATCAAGCAGCAAATGTTCAAAAAGGGGGAAAAGTCAACGGAAAAAGGACCACAAATGTATTCATGTGTGCATGAGAGGCAGGCACTCACTGCTTTAGGAAAGGCATGCTGTGAGCCACCCACTCACACTTCAACAGACTTGATAAGGTGGTATTTCAGAGATAAAGCCCACCTCTTTTCTGTCCTGTTGTGGGCAAAATATCATAAAAGCTCAAATATATACCTCCTTTTGAGCATTTTTACAGAATTGTTTGTCATTGTGTTTAGAAAACAGGACAAGCCAGTTAATTCTCCCAGGATATTTTGACCCAGAGTGCCTTTCTTTTTAACACTTTTTCCTATCCAAAACCTTTTTTGTCAGTCCATTCCCTTTGTACCCCTCCCTTCACTTTCAATTTGGGGGTTGGAGGCTGCAGAGACACTTGGATTGTTGTCAGCTCCAGCCAAGTAGTCTACTCATTTCAAAGAGTGTTGGGGTCAGAGGTTAAGTTGTCTCCAGTGTGTTGCTGCTTGAGTGACACATTGTTCCAAAGCAACCCATTTGGCTTTCTCACTCACTGTGTCTTACAAGTTGAGCACTTGTAAAAAATAAATAAATGTTTGTGGTGAGTAAAGAAAATTGTGAAATGCTCTCTTGTGTCAGCCTTGCTGATTTATTTGGACTTAAACAAATCACAAACAATTGCAAAGAAACCAGCTTAGACACCAAAAATGCCAGTAAAAACATATTATTACAGAGAAACTTACGTGCTTATGTAAGCAGCATGCTGTGAATGACATTGACAGGTGTATGCCCGTTCTCTGGGCCTCCAAATAAGTGGAAAGGAGAAAAGCAACAGTGGAGGTTGATTTTAAAAAAACACAGCTGATAGGTGTAACCTTCAGAGGACTCTAAGCACTGAGTGAACAGTGTTTTTCGTCTCCGTTTGGCAGTCAGAGCCAAAAGCCGTCTGTGCTCTGCACAGTCATGTCAATGACTGATGTCCTGGTGTGTCTCTGGGCTGCTGTGCTTATATAATTTACGGCAGCTCTGCTTTAGTCATTAAGGGGTGTGAAGGAGCCACCAGGGAGCAGGAATTTGTCCAAAAGAAGTGTTTATGAAAGAGGATATATTTTTGATTTAGTGCCCCAGGAGTGTGTGTGAAGTACACAACAAGAAAGCCACAGTATTTCGGCCTTCGGTTCATTCAAAACATCCTGCAGAGCTCTCAGAACACCCCCCCCCTCCCCCCCGAAACGCCAGATCTTGTTTCGATTTCCTTCATAGTCATTCATTACACAGATTTAATTTACTAGCCTCAACAGAATACACATATCGGGAGAAAATTTAGCATGAATTATTTGTTGTTTGAAGTACTTTTTTTAAAGATATTACTTTTATTTTATATAGTATAATGTAATATTACTCATCTTAGATTTCATTTTTAATGTGAGACGCTACGGAAAAAGTTGTTTTTTTCTCTTTCGATAATTCCTTATTTACATTAACTACATACAAATACATTTTTATGAATCTTTAACCTTAGTAGAAAACAAAAGCTATTCTTTAAATTTCTCTTGAAAGAAAAAAAGCATTCACATTTATTTGCCGGTAGAAACATGTAACGTCCTTTATCAGAAACAACCTACACACTTACAAGCTGATATATTCATGGAGGAACATTCAGACATACTTTCAAAACACAATAACTCTAAATTCACAACATTACTGAATTGATTGGTCATATCCCTGAAATCTACATGTTATAATACTGATTTAGAGCAGCCATTTATTCCTGTAATTTAAGTACATAAAAAAATGTAACAACCAATGCATGGCACCGAGCAAATATCGTATGGTTTAAACTTCCTTTTGTTTTATATATATATATATATGTAGTGTTCCCTGTGTTAAAGTTATTTTTGCAGATTTTCTAGCACATTTGGATAACATGATTAATTTATGTTGTCAAGGTAGTAAACCTTACAGTGCCGTAAACCTGAACTGGATCAAACGGCTGCAGAAATTTATAAAATCCATGACATTTGTGTTTATATCCCACAAATAACACTACATCAACATCAAATGTTCAGCTTTTTCCCATAGTTTATTATAAATAGTAATAGTGCTATATTATACACAAAACTTACATCAAAATCACTTCACGCCACTTTAAATGGAAAATTATACAAAAGAGAAATCGTGAATAATGAACATTGTTTAAGACTTACTTGAGCACAGAGGAGAGCTTATACAAGACATACAGAAAATACACTTGGACAACACTAAATAAATAGGAAATGGAACTTATCTTTGCGAGTTCCTGGTGACAACTAATTCAACATGCAAAACAACAACGAGAGTAAAATCAACAGTCTAACCGAATGGTGTATTTACTTGCAGAGAACTTTTTTTGGCTTAATGACATCATGGCTACGGTCACTACGATATTCATCGCGCAATGATTTCCCCTGACTGATAAATGCATACAACCCAAAATGAACATCATTAAAAGTAGAGGGAGGGTTTTTCTGAGCATAAAATGAAACATTTGATCCGTGTTCTTTTTTCAGCACATGAGGTATGAATGTATTGCACTTTCTTTGGGTTGCAGCAGCTTCCCTGACTCCACCCGGGGTCAGTTCAGGCTTTCTTGCTGGTTTTCGTGATGTACTCACATAACCGCCTACGGTTGATATCACTGCCCTGTGATGGAGACATTCTTGGAGGAGCGTTACGGATGGGTGTGTTGATCCCCAACGCCTCTAACCATCGACTACAACAAAGCACCCAATCATTGTCAAGCTGGGCACAGAAGCTCCTGAAACTGATAGGCGTCACCTCAGCATGTGTCTCTGCCACTTATTTAAAAAAAAAATCAAATACAAAGTTTTTGAACATAATGCATGTATCTGCTCCCCCCCCCCCAACCCCTGTTTTCCTCCTGAAGCACTGAGAAAAACCATGCTTAGTCCTTGGAGCGTGACGTGACGCGCAAACGAAACCAAGTTTTCGGTTAGCGAGGAGGCTGCGCCTTTGGTCCTTAATCATACCACTCAACCCCCTTCGTTGCCATCAATACACCTCTATCAAAAGAGGTTCCCTTCCTCACTGGAGTAGATAACCATAACCCTTTCACCTCCCCACCCCCTGTCTTGTTGTCCTCAGGGCTGGGGAAGTTGGCAGAGGCAGTGGGTGGTGGTGCTCTCCAGGGGTGAATGTCAGAGTAGCCATTCAAGTCATGTAGAGAACTTCATATAATGAAAGGCACCTGAGGAGCAAAGGGGGGAAAAAAGAGGATTGAAGCTTTTTTTTGTGCATTTCACTCCCTTGTGATAGCAATAAGTAGTCATCTAATCAAATGTTATTAGGTGAGGTCAGAGAAAAGGTGTGCAAAAGGGAACAAAGCGTAAATAAGAATGGCTTAAAATAACAGGATTCTCAGATTTATGGTTGGTAGAACTACGCTTACACTGAGTCTTTGCCTGGATCTCTGGCACTGCTTCACTGATCAATAACAACACTAAATCTGACCTCCAGTGGGACACATGGTTCTAATCCTGGCCTGCCAAGGGCCATAATCACCCCTTGTTAAACAGCCCCTTACTCCGCTTTTATACACACATACCTGCGCTCACATGCGTGCACGTATACGCATTCACATTTCACCAAACCCCCAAAAGCTATACGTGGGTCTCTTCCAGGTCTGGCTAAATTAACGACATCAAGATGTTGCCACTGATGGGCCGGTCAACATGTGGTAGTGTACCTCAGATCAGACCTCAACAGCGGACCGCTCCAACCTACACATTCCCCTCCCTCCTGTCAAACACACTTGTAGCTCCTTTCATTTGGGGGGCTATCCTTGTTACACAGGGGTCATTACATGGCTTGGTGAGCTATACTGTGGACTTGATGGGCAAGCTCATCATGCAGGGTCATGAAAGAACAGTATTTGAAAATGTGCGGGTTGGGGAACGCGACGGCCCACATGGACAGTCCGATGATGGTAATATAAACTGAGGTAACCTGGCCAGAGCCTTCCCCAACACAAATGTAATTTCAGCGCAGCGCAGGGTGATTTGAGAAGCTCACTCATCAGAGGGGTTTGTGCAATTAACGTGGGCTGTGGGTTGGAAAATCTAAACTAAATCATGCAGCTAGAACAGGGGTCACAGAATAATATAACCTTCCTTTAAACAATCAGTTTGGAAGTCAGTATGAATCTGTGTGAAAACACGTTTAAACTAGACACTCAGGAGTACTGTCAATATACCTTGCTCTGACTGTACTGTCCGTACTGGTAGGAAGGGTGGTGGTCTACAGCATAGGCTGGGGAAGTGTAGGAGGGTGGACAGTAAGACTGGGTGCTGGGCAGGGTGGGCATGCTGGTCAGGCTCGGAAGAGCTTCCAGGCGCTGGGAACCATGACAACTCGCAGCCATGGCTCCATTAGGCTCCAGGCCTCCAGTCAGAGAGGAGAGGGCAAAGTCACTCTGGGACTGATGCGGCACTCCGCTGGGGTTCAGCAGGCCCATGACCTGGTGTAAGACACAGGGGAGAACCAAGTGGTTAGAACAAACGAGGATTCAACTGAAAATCTTCCGGAACACACACAAAGACATTTAAGAGGAAGTGCACCCGTTTTTAAACAGAACAAGGCAAATTTATGCCCTCAGTTTTGTCTCACAAATACGATGCCACAGCCGTCAGCCCTTTTCTCAGGTGGGAATGAGTGTAGCCCTCTCTTTGCTCACAATCAGAAAGATATTAATAGTAATTTTAATAAATATTAATATTAATAATTGTCCCACTTGGCTCTCTTTACTCTGATAACTGGCTGAGGAGTGATGGCATCTAAAAAGTTGCATTTTTTCTCCCACAGGTAGTTTGTGCTGGAATTATCATGTGACATTTGTCAAAGTATCTTTTTTTTTTTAAATTACTTTCTCATGCATCCGTCTTGTAAAACGTTTTGTTACCAACAGAACAGATTTAGGACAGGTCCTAAGTGTGACTAGTGTTGGGATATAAACTCAAATGCTCAAGATAGTGAAATGTTAAGGCACCTTTCAATATCTCAGTGAGTAATATCTCTTTTATCGCTTTCACTTTCTTTTATTGTCTCAGTCATGCTTCAAATTTACCATGTCCTCATAAAGCCAGGGTAAAGAGGGCAAAGGCTACGTGGGAACAAGGAGCAGGGTGTGTTTGTGCATGCATATCGGAGCTGTGAATTGTGCTCCTAACAGTAGGTGTATGTGCATGCACGCCCACGTGTAGTAAGAATTTTCTGTTCTGATGTCAGGGCTACAGGGGTATCTGTGATACATAGTCAACAGCTGCACAAGGGTTTGCGTGAGAAGCAAAGTCGTGAAAATGTCTAAAAAATGTAGTGAAAGGGAAAACAAGAGTTACAATCCATGTAGAAGAAAACCACTACAAAACCTAATGGCATCTAACTGAAGAGAAGGTGAGGAATCGGTAATGCAAAGTGATGTGAATAAAAAAAATAATGTTTCCCCAATTTCCCAAACCACCAAGAGAGAAGCATATTTATGCTTAGCAAGCCAACCTCAGATTTCATTTATGTAATTTGGAGCTTTTGTTAGGGAGCTGGCCTCACATTGGAACGTTGCAACCAGCAAGCCAGAATTTACTCCACTGTTGGTCATCTGTAGGACTTATTATACAGCCTAAAGTAAAAGGATATAGCATACAATATTTAGCCCTAAGGAGAAATTCTACTAATCAATATTTTATATCTGCCCAAAATTTCTATTTATGCAAGTGAACACATTACGGTGAAAGTGTGACTTGGTTGTTAATGTGTTCATTTTATTACTTATCAATGTCATTATTGTTTATAGACAGCAGTTTTTAGTAACTATAAACAAAAACATTTTGCACACTGTGGAGCATTTGAGTTTACATGCATGTGTGCCAACATTTGTTTTATACGTGCATACTTGTGTTGAGTTTGTTTCTGATCTACATGCTCGAGCCTGTATACGCTTTCCCCCTGCCACTGAAACTCCAGCAGTTCCCGTTGCTGTGTCTGTTTTGAGGTTGTTCCGGGGATTATGTCTCAGGGGGGTGCAAATCCTAGCCGCTTGCTTCTCTGGTGAGAAAGGATTCCTTTGGTATGCACCAGATCAGCAGTGAGACGCCAGAGACAGAGAAAGCCATCGGCCTGGCTGCTGTTCTCGATGCAGAGCTAAGTGCTCAGACGAGAATATCACAGATCTAAAGTAAACTGTCTATATGAAAAATCTATCTTCGCCTTACGTAACCATATCTGGAGTGAGAGGAATCCTCCAATAATTACAGAAAAGTAGGAAGAGTAAAAGCAGCTTCCATGAACAAATTCGGAGTTCAGATAACTAAGGGGGATCATTCTGTAGAAGGATTTAGAGCAAAAATATCCAAGCTAGCAATCATAGTAAACTGAAGTGGTTAAGTTTTCCAAGTGTAAAGAGGTCCTCTTGTACTATCAATGTCATAGAATTTAATCACTTCTCATTTCCTCTTACTTATTAAGTTAAAATTAGGAAATTAATTCTATCATCATATGAAATAGAGGAAACTGTAATGCAAAATACATTCAAACAGCTGCAATGAATATGTGTATTAAAACAAATTAGCCAACAAAGTGATTCATTTGCATAAATTACACACTTTGTTAGGAGGGGATAGATTACTTCATTCCAATCAATTAAGACACTGGAACATTCAGTGATTGCAATCCCAGACTAAGAAAACATTCAAGGCACGCCATCTGATCTGCAAGATGAGATGTCCATTCTGTACATAGCTTCCCACTAAGGTTAATGTTGAAACCATCCATGAGGCCAGACCACCTTTGGCCTCTTTATTGGAGTTTAAGTCTTCTGATGACCCCGTGGGTGCGTAAACTCACACCACAGCAAGTTAAAGGAGGCCACTACTAGCAAGTTAGCTGTCCAGGAATGTTTAAACAAACTAATTATCTGAACCACAGACTATAAATAAGCAGAGTTATCGGATTATGACTGTTATACTCTCACAGGTCTCCAAATGTAAATTTCTCAGTCTTCTCACGTAATCTGTCCAGTTAAAAAACGCTAATGTGTTAACAGCACGTGTGACTAATTATTGAGAAAAAAACCCACCCATGATGGCCCTCCTGCATCAAAGAAGTCAATTATAACTTCAGCCTCAATGGTACTACCACCAGCTACTTTCTGACTGTGCGCACTGGCAGCCACCACAAAGCCTTATTTATTCATTTTTCTTCTAAACATATACATCCTTAGGAATTTAGATGGCAACAAACCTGCCGGAGGCACTTTTTTATCTGTGCATAACAGAAGTCTGAGATTCTTTCTCATGGGAATTAGTACCCAGCATGCATTGCATGAGGGCCGACCACCCTTTGTGGCGGTTAAAAGCTCGTTTTACGCCTGTTAGTCCATCTTCTGGGGTAGTAGGGAGGCACTGATGGACACTGATGACTGTGTAATCGACCATAATTGTCTTTTCAGTTTTGATTTGTGTCATCATCTGACATCCATACATCCTTCCTTGTGTTTGGTCTCCTCTAGCTCTCCAACGTCTGACGTGTGCCACATTTTAAATTCATCAAAACATCCATCAGAATAAACAAAAATGAAAAGCTACCGAGTTCTTTAGCCTAACAAGATTTCATCATTGTCGTCGCAATGACATCTCCGAGGTCACACCAGGAAGTGTGTTCGTGTGTGTGTGCGCTTCCCAGTATCATTCTAATTTGTGTGTGTTTTTGTGTGTGCTGAGTATTTGATGCACCTGCGGCGAGAGACTGTTGCTGATGGCGGGATTCACAGTGCTGGAGTGTCCGGTCTGCGCCACAAAGCTGTCTGAGTATCCTGAGAAGCTGTGTCGTCCAGAGGACAGGCAATAGGCAGAGCCTCCATCCTGGGATGCTGCTGAAGAGCTCAGGCCGCTCTGGTGCACTGATGTGGGCGGCAGAGGCTGTGGTCGGTGGACTGTACTGGGCTGCTCAGATGCTGCTGGGAATACAATATATTATATTTGAGTCCAGTTTTTTTTTTTAAATCAAATCTTTTTTCTCTTTTTTTTTGCAGTGAGATTGATTACTTCAAACATTTGAAGTAAAGAACCCATTATGTTTTCAGGAAACATTCTGCTGTAACTACCTTGAGCAATGGAGGATGGAGGGTAAGGGCTGTCGGACAGCTGGTAAGGCTGTAGGCCTGGCATGGCTGATGGAGGAAAACCATTTGGTATGAGATGGTTAAAAGCCATGAGCTGATTGGCCCCTGCTTGCTTCCTCCACCGAGCTCTCCTGTTGCTGAACCACACCTTAGAGAAGAACGTGAGTGTTAGAGATGTTTGATTTACATGCAAAAGCAATAACCTAACTTCAATCAGATATGCACCCCAGGTCGAGGGGTTTGTGTGACAGGTCTCTCTGTCTTTTAACAGGGAGCTTAACTGATGGAGACCATAACATCTGCAGAGTGCAATGAAAATACATCTTTGTCTACCACTGTAAGTTACACGCTTCAGGTAACACCAGAGGATTTTTATGGCTGTTAAAGCCATATGAGAAAGCCATCTAAATTAGGCTTTTTTTAATATTTTCTGATAGCAAAACTTTGTCAGAAATGTGACAAAGTGTTCTTACAGACTGGTTTAGTGCCTCATTATCTGTTTGCATGTGCAGCAAAAGAGCAGGCATTGGTTGTTTTGGGGGGAACATGTTGCATGACTGTGAGGCAACGTGCCAAAAACACTCATATAACAGTCATCCACGACAGAGTGACACACCGTCGTTCTGTCAAGATTCATTCTCCAGGACTCTGAGACCGGCGAGCACACGCGTGTGTGTTCTAACCTGAACTCTAGCCTCTGTCAGTTTGGCCCGCTGAGCCAGCTCCTCCCGTGTATAGATGTCCGGGTAGTGCGTGCGTTCAAAGGCCCTCTCCAGCTCCTCCAGCTGCTCTGCTGTGAACGTGGTCCGACTGCGACGCTGCTTCCTCTTCAGAGGAAGGCCTGGCTCAGAGTCCACATCGGAGCCCTCGTCGGAGTGACTAGCTGCAATTTAAAAATGAAACACACACACACACTGTTACATCAGCATTTGGAAAAGTAAAGCAAACACATAATGAAACTTTGCAGTGAATGCTAATCTGGGGTACAATAGCCAGAGCTGAGACAATAGATTATGCTGAGTACAACACATGGTGCACAGCCACTTTAGATTGTGTCCTCCTGCTTCCTTAAACTCCTCAGAGGTTCCTGAGGGGATCAAAAGCCAGAGGCTGCTTGAACATGGATTAAATAGAGCTCGATCCCTCTGGGGCATCTATTGCCTGGGACACTCTGTCTCTCTCAGTCTTAGCCATGCTGTGTGCTATGCAGATAGCATCCCATAGCGCAGGACAGACAGCCCTTTGCAGGTGCTTCTTAATCTGTTTGTTCAGTTGAGGGCAGGAGAAAGCGACTGGGTAACTGGGAGACAGCCATAGGGATGTAATTCAGCAGAAGAAGGGAATCAATGGAGGCTTGAAACTAGACACAGAGGAGTATTTCTGCATTCAGAGGGAGGTTACCCATCTATTAAATAATGATTAGGCTCCACAAACTACCGTGACAGCTTTCTATTGTCCACCATTACGTGTGCAATCCCCCATCTCTTTTTCGGTGACGTGCACACTCACAAACATGCATCTGCTGCGTCTGGGCTCGGAGCTTCCACTGGGTGAATGTAATCTATGACAATGTGTCAAACACAGATGGACACAAAGCGTAGAGAGTTGGAATCCTTTTCCAAATTCACACTAAAGAGACTTCTCACACCTCATAATAAGGGTTTACATTCAAGCACTAACACTAAGTAACAAGAGAAAAGGAGCTGAAAGTATATAGACAGGTGCTAGCAAAAAAAAAAAAGAGAAAAAAAGGCCTCAGTGGAAGACTGCATCTTGCCTGTTTGCCCCAGACTGCTCTTTTTCTCTCTGTCCCCCAGATTTAAAGCTTTAATTAAAAAGTGCCAAGTCAGACATGCAGGGGGGCAAAGGGATCTCCCCTTGCCTCTGGAGCCTCTGAAGCCAAGCAGGAAATGTTTGTACCGGTTGCCAGTGTGTGTCTGACCAGGCATTACACACGGATTTGGCCTCTGGGAATGCTGCTGCGCAAAGAACCACCGGCGAAACAAGACCCTGATGCCGTGAAGAGCTCTTTATTACATTTTTATTACACCAGGGGCGCCACGCTGGCATACAGGCTCACTGTGGATTGACCGGATGCGTCAATACTCCTGGAACGTGCAGTATGAGTTTGGGATGTGGTTTGTTTTTGTAAGGATGTGAGTCCAATTGCAACAGATTCTTTAAGACAACAGGTGCAAAGTGAAGCCACAGAAAGACACAGCATGAGTTTAAAACTTTGCCTGTTTGGATTATTGAGTGACTTTTTTGTTGTTCAACTGATAACACATAGAGGTAAGACTAAATAAAATAGTAAGCAAAGTTTTATGTAATGTTATGGCCATTTTAATGATAGAGAAACAGTAAGTGATAGAAAAAGGGCATGAATAGCAGGAAGGATTCCTAAGGGAGGGAAAGAGAGGCCATAAAACTCTCTAAGGCAGAGAGCTCTCCTTTTTGCACTGTAGCTCATGTTAACTACAGGGATGGGGGTGGATTTCTCTCTTCTGGCCCTTTATTTTTTGTCTTTCCCTCCCTGTTTTTATTATTAGTAACAACAGAGAGACCACTCCATCACAGAGTATCCCTTAATGACAAATGACAATGTTGCCTTTGTCATCCTCTGGCTCCCTCTTCGTCTTCTTCCTTTTTCTGTCTTCTTTTCAACTTCTTCCTCTCTCTCTCTCTCTCTCTCTCTCTCCCTCTCTCTCTCTCTTTCTCTTTTTTTTTTGGAAATGATGTAGCCAAGCCTTTGTATCTTAGCAGGGAAAAGCCTGTGGCAGGGCTCTATTGGACCGATTACCACGCTCCATCTGTAGGAGCCATCAGGGACGCCCGGGTCCGCATTCAGGGGCCTGTCACCTGCCCAGCAGGGGAGTTGGGAGGGATGGGGGGGGGGGGCTCAAGGGGAAGATGGGGGCTGTAGAGCCAGGGGCCGAGTGGGGGAATGAAGAGTGGGAGGGAGAGGGGCACAAAGGGGTCCAGAGAAGGGCCACTGGGGGCTGTGGAGGGACACAGCAGGGGAGCACCCCTTCATTCCCTCCTTCCATGGCCTGAGGGGCACAAAACTGGGGGATGGGGAGTCAAAAGGCTGACACAGAGAGGAGTTAGGAAGCTGAAGGTACCTGAGGAAGATGCTGGGCAAGCTGGGTGCCAAAGTAAGGAAAACGGGAGTTCTCACTTATACAAATTACATCTCATCTTTTCACCTCACATATCTCTTTCTCTGAACGCCCTCTCGCCATTTCCACACTTTTACACCATGAACTCAATTTTTATGCCACAGAGGATTGATTTTTTTAAGCAAGCTGATGCAGGAGTGGGTTTGTTCCCACACATTTTCTTCAACAAATGACAGAAAAGGATACTGCGAACACAAAGAGAGGCCTCGACCTCCTACTTAAACACCCAAATCAAATTTTACGCTGCAGCTAAAGCACTAGGGAGCTGAAAATACTCTATTGCTACCCACAGTTTGGTTGTGCCTCTGACAAGAATCTTAATAGATAGAAGGATTATTATCTCTCAAGCGGAAATTGAGCCCGCAGTAGAGCTGCCCATGAAACCGTTTCTTTAGAACAAATAAGATCTATGATCAGGCTTTGCTGAGATAACAGAGTAAAAAACATGAAAAATGTGTAGCACAATTTAGGATCATCAACAAGTAAATTCAACAGGTTCCCCCGTAATAAATCAAACGCTTGCGTTTAAAGATTTGCAAACACACACGCAATGTGCCCACCTCTGACATCAGTGCTATAAGCCCATCACACAACGTAAACACAACCATTTATTGATCAAGGGTGGAGACTGACAGGCAGGGAAGATAAACTCCAGAGGGTCGCAGATGTGAAACCTGGGGAACGTCCAGTTTCATTAGCTTCACCTGCAGCAGTGCCTCTGACCAGCCAAAAAAACCCAGTAGAGGATTCCAACTGTGAGGATAAAGACTGCTCTTGTTTATTGCATAGACTACTACCGTAGCCAAGACTTGTCTTGGCAAGCAGTCACCGCGCTCCCACCCCTTTGGGAGATGTTAATATGAAGAGACATGCACAGGCGCACATAACCATGTCCGTGCTCACGTGTGCAAATAAATTCACACACAGTTTGAAATGACAAAAAAAAGGAAAGAAACGGAAAGTGTGACAGAGCTTGTGCAAGAGAATCAAAATAGAATCAAGCTAAAGGGATGAAGAGGAAAGAGAAAGCAGAGCATATGGAGCGGTTTATAGCCTTGTCTTGGTAGGGGCAGGCTAGCCCGTCCTCCAAGGGGCTGTTAATGGAAAAGATAATTGAGCTGGTGACATGTGTTCGCAGCGCAAAACAAAGGGCAGAAGAGACAAATGAACTAGCTATTTGCCCAAGGAAGTAGATCTGGCCCTTTCAGGCCACAGAGCACAGTGCGAGTGGGCCACTGAATTAAATAAAGGCATGCCACATAGGGCCAGCGAGCAGATGCACTGGAGGAAAAGAATGGTTAACTGACAGCTTATGGACTCAGCTGGGGTTAACAGTTAAGGGAAAAATAGGAGTGAGTGGGCCGCTCACTTGACTTGCTAAAGAGCCCCCAGGAACCCACAGCTGCCTGGGAAAGGAGGAGGGGGTATGACGGAAAGAAAAAGAAAGGGAGATGATGATGTGATGGACAGAAAAAAATGGAGAGTATGAGCACAGGAGGTTGGCACTTAACGGACAAAGAAATGGCTTGCTTGAAGTTGAAAGATGTATCTCTGTCTAACTCCGGTGCAGTGACAAGAAGCCCCAAATGGCCTCGCACGGCTATTATGGGTACCCAGTGTGTGGTGGTTATTATTTAGTTCCACTGCGGTGCAGTTAGGTGACAGTTTCACGGTGGCATTTCCACCCTCGGGGCCGGGACAATGCAGCCTCACAGGACCCACGCAGGGCCGCAGCAACAGGCCAGTCTGCCGCACGTTCCAGTCAAACAGACTAACCAGCAAAGATCTGCGTCAGCTATACCTCCTTTAGGCGAGACAGACAACCAAACAAGCCCCTCATTCAGAAAAAATAAGGGGGAAAATGAGAAACGAGAGTCATTCAAGCAACACTGGCTCCATGGTGTGACATGGCGATATTAGATTGTCAGTTGACATCTTTTCCCAAACATTATTGTAACCTCCTTTTCCTGGGGCCTGATAGTTTTAACAGTCAAGTGACCCAGGGATGGCCCCTGACCTTTTCACAGCAACTGCACAGGACTGCAGGGAAAACAGCCTCACCACTGACCCTGCAACAAAACCCCACAGACACTCGGCAGAGAGGGAAACCACTATCGCATTCCCTGCTTTCTATTCCAGCCCCACAAACACAGACTATTGGTCATTTTTGTTATTTTTATCTTCTGTGTAAATTCATTTTCTGAGAGTAGAGAAGAGTGAAAACAAAACGTGGTCAAGAAAATTCAAGCATGAATGTTTTTCTAATCTTAAAGCAATTTTTTTCCTGTTTCCTATCATTGTATGTTTATTTATTAATTTCTTGTTAAGAGAGGAAAAGAGACATTCATCAAAATGGGAACAGTTGTCCTGACATGTCAATAATGTGCAATGTACTGGATGAAACAGCTCCACAAAAACTGAGGCTAAACAAAGTTAAGTGATTGACAACACTGTCTGGCTTTACTCAATTAACTATCCCATTGTGCTCCTCTTTGCAGAGTCCCCTTGCCCCCGACCCTTTTCTCCTCTCACCCCTTTATCCTCCCCATCACAGAGTTTTGCTTGGCTAATACTTCCAAGGAAATAGAGAGCTCTTTTTCTGCCCAGGCTCCTCTCCTTGACCTTCTATAGCTCATTGCTTCTCTTTCAGTCACTTCATAGTGTCTCAGGGGTTAGTGGGGAGAATGCGGAGAGTACATCAGCGCCGAGGGGCCGGCTCAGGGCAGGACCCCAGCCCATTACTTCAAAGTTGGCCCGCATTCATTAATTGTCCTTTGAATTAATATTGGGGATCACAATGTGGGTGCCAACAGAGAAAGAAGCTTTAATGAAGCATAGACTCTGCATTCAGTTGCAGATCAACCACTGTGGATTTTTTTCTTTCTTTCTGACGAGTGAGACCTATATACTGAGATAACAGGAGAAAGTTCTGGGTATCTCTCTCTGTCTCTTCATTTATATATATATATACAAGTCTAATCTATCCAACCAGCCATATTTTTAATTGTTTTTTTTCGCAGTCCTTTAGGGTAAATGAGCATAATGAGCTCTGCCAGCACAGGAAAATGCAGAGTCAAGACTTCATATAGATTTCACCACTATCCAGCCCTCAGAGGAAAATGTGGCTGTAGCAGACATTCCTCTGGTTGCAATGAGGCCTTCTGTCTCCTCTAGACCCCTAGTCACAAAATTTAAAAAAAAGAAAATCTTCATATATCTCCCTGTTTACAGTTACGGGTTACTGCCATGCTGCTCAAATACCATTGCTCCCCGCACGTGAAAGCCCCATATCTGTGTATATTCTCGTTTCATGGTAGTATAGTTATAAAATGTGAAGATTGGTTTAAGATGGTATGGGCCAGGATGTTCGCTTTTGTCATAATTTTCTACTCAGCCTGCTTTTGAAATTAATATATAGAATACACAGACATGTTTGACTGCTTCAAAACATGGCATGCAGTCAAATTCAAATATGATATTTTCTGCTCTGCTCCCTCTCCCAAATTTCCCCTAATTCTTAATCCATGCCAAAATCCCAGGGAGTCAGTAACCCAGTTTATTTACACAAACAAAGTCCTACTCAGCTCCTTTGACAAAAGCAGCTAAATCTTTCATGTTTTGTCAGCACTTGATTCCTCCTGTCCCCCTGGCTATTTGCCTGCCTCTGGACAATAGAGGCAGGAGAATGGCAGCAGATTGTTGGAATGCACCTCAATGAAACCAATTATTACATGTTGAGTGCGTTCACCATGGCAGATTTGAAAGAACTGGGCTCATTCATTTGAGCACCGCAGGACTCCCTTTAAAGAAAATTTATCCCTTTGACTGTTTGTATTTCTGAGCTTTCTTTTTTCTTCTCCTTCTTTCTGCGTCTCACCCCCTCCTGCCATAAACAGATCCTGTAAGAGTGGCTACCCCTCTTTCATGACTTTGGTTACTTTAATTAGTTAAATGAGGCTAAAGGCTAAAGTGCCACTGGTAATATATAGAGGATGCTATCAATTAAATCAATCCTGCCAATAGAAAGAACTTATTCCTGGAACTACAGGATACTCACATGTTTTGATTTAAATGTACCAAAGATCTGATGAAAGTCATTATAAGTACATGTCATTGGTTGCGAATTTGATCAAATTTCTGCTCAGCCATGCATGTTTGAAGTTTGCAGAATTTTAATTTAATCATGCTTCAGTAATTCTAACTGCCAACGACAATGGAAACAACTTAAAATTACATACAGCCCATCATCTATCCACTTTACAAAACGTGCCAGGCGCATGCTAATGCCAGACGCTCTGCTGTCCAGTAGACTTTATCCCACAAACCTTAGCACTCATTTTTTTTCCCAGACAAATAAATCTAAATGAGTCAGCTTTGATCTTAGCACTTAAGAAAAGCCAACAATAGTAGTAGAGGAGAAAGGGGCAGAGAGCAACAGGCCTCTCCCCGCCGCAACAATAGCCTCTGCAAACACCTACTTAATCAATATTTGGCCAGAAGACACTCTCTTAGCCCTCAAACCACCCTTTTCACATTCTAATGAAGTGCTATAAAAGAGAAAAACAACTACTTCCACATCCAAGAGTCACAGGGATGAAATAGTGTCAATGAAGGCAGCTTAGCTGTTGACACAGTTTATCATGTAAAACACGTTCATGTTATTTTAAATATATAAACACATGTATGCATCACATTTAAGCTTGATTGTTGTTGTTTTTTCCATTAGTACTAATTTTTACGAATCACAAGTCATTTGTAAAAATCTTAAATTGACCAACCAAGAAAATCAGAGTAAAAAATCCAACGGCCTGATCTCTCTGCACCCTATCAGAATAATCTGATCTGCGCTTAAATATATTTGCAAAGTCCGTCGCTTGATGTGGATGTGGCCGTCCGTGGCATGGAGGGAGTGGGAAGTGTCCCGCACAGACAGCACATAAATGTGTGCGCCCAAGGCGAAAGGGAAGGGGCGGACTTTGTCTGAGATGAAAGTGGAAAGAAATAAAAGGTTTGGATTTAATCTAGTGGGGAGAAGAGTTTCCCTGTGCTCACTGGCTGAAGGCGTCATGCTCGCCGCGCAAAGACAAAAAAAGCCTTGAATAAAAGGCCCCGAGCGCGAAAGTAACGGGAAAAAAAGGCCAAGCCCCGAATGTAACACAATTCAGTTAAAAAATCACGAGCCTCTTGCTTGCTGCCAAATGCGTTCAGGCATATTTAGTTTGATGAATATGGTTTTCGATTTTGGACATCGGTAATAAACAACATCCATTATATCTCAACCTCTGGCAGGGAATCCCTCCAGTCGCCAACAGGTCGTAAATCAACAGGTGTTTGTCTGAAAGCTTAGCTCCCCAGTAAGAAACGTTAACAGTGAGGCAGGAGCAAGAAAAAAAATGGCATTTATGTGCGCTATCTATGAACCAGATGCCACTGGGTCCATTGGTGTCCCTGAATAATTCATCGCTCATTGCGAGTTCATAATGTCTTCTCTCGGTCTTTTGTCAACGCAGTTTTTCTCTCCCTTTCTTTCCCCATTCTGAAAAGCCCTGGCATCTTTTTGTACACCACTGAGCCGCTCGCTGGAGTTTGGCTTTTGTGCGCGTCAAACTGAGGTGTGAGTCTCAATGGACTCTCCATGCTTTGTCCCCTGAAGTTCATCCCCAAGTGTCCGATTAAGTATAAAAAAAACTTTCTCAGGCTTGAAAGTTAGACAAATGTTTGATTTAAAAAAGCTCTTTCCATAGGCTCATGTGTTAACTCATAGAGATAGCGCATGCCTGGAACCATAGGGGAAAAGTCTGTAAACTGTTGATCATTTTATAGAAATCATAAATATCCAAATTAAATACTCATTAGTATTATTATCATTATTATTATTATTATTATTATTATTATTATTATTATTATTATTAT